ATGCCAATAACGATATAGCCTCAATGGAAGTGTTGTTCGCATCACGAGGGATTTGGTTGGTGCTGGGTCGATACAAAAAAAGACGATTTTTATGGTGACCTTGTTTTGATAGAGACCAATATCTTGTTAGCGTGACAGCAAGATAACAAAGGGATTTACATTTGAAAAGCAGCAACGTTTGTATAATAACAAGGTCACCCTTAATCTCACTCCTGTACCAGGGATTAGCTACCAAGCACGCACGTTTGTGAAGACTGATGTGCTAAGGATCTCGGTGCAATAACTGCACCAGAGATTTGTGAATCGCCCTCTACCCTTAAACAGGGGTAGGTATACGGATAGCACTAAGGAAAAACATTTTATTTTATTCATTATATTCATTCGAGGAAAGCGTTCCGAATTTAGAATGAGGTTTTAGAACTTGGAGTTAGATTTAAATTCGCGGTGAGCTCATCGTGATTCGGAGAGATTGAACTTTTCGAATTCGGAGTGAGGTTTTATTATTTGAAGTGGAATTTTAATAATAATAATAATAATAATAATAATAATAATAATAATAACACTCCTAGCGCTTATTCGCATGCGTTCTAAACGCTTTACATCCATTGTATTACAGTATGACTTAGAAATATAAAAACAAAAGATTAAGTTATCTAATTTAGATTGAAAGCGCATTTAACAAGGTGTGTTTTCAGTTTAGAATTGAGAGTGAAGCTCGCGAAATCGGAATTCGGAGCGAACTATTAGAATTCGTAGTGAATTTAAAATGTGAGACGTTTGCTTGAAATTAGGAGTGCACTTTTGGGCCACCATATCTTGACAATGATAGCTTAATCAGAGAAATGTATTCAAACACGATCTTAACGAGAACAATTGTGAGAAATTGTTGTACCCATACATCACATGCAACGAGACTTTGGGCCTGATTACATGAGCCGGGCTGGCCCGGTTAGCCGCGCTGATTTCTTTTCTTTTCACGCGTTGGCGAACACCAAAACAAAAGAAATCAGCCCGGCTAACCGGGCCAGCCCGGCTCATGTAATCAGGCCCTTTCACACGCATTCTTAGTGTATAAAGGACTCATGGAAATCTGACTTTTAGAATTTCAAAATGATGAATGAGTCGCCGATACGGCATTCGAAATTATTATCGCTCATTTATATTCTGAATTGTTGAATGTGAGTGTGTTTATCAGATGCACTGCTTTTAATTCGCTCGCGAACTTGCTACTGACAGTTTAAGTTCCAGTTAGGAAAGCAGAACAACCAATGAACAAACCACTCCGTAATGATGGGCTCTTTTTAACGTGAACGACAAACCGTTAACTTAGTCGTAAGTGTTGCGGCGTCCTTTGTTTCAGTACTTGCAGAGGACAGTATTGACTTATTGAACCTTTGCTTAACGTCAATGTTGATGCACGTCATTTGCGTGGCGGCGCTTTTAGTTACAGTTACACGCGTCACTTGCGTGACAGTGCTTTACGTTCCAGTTAGGTTCTTTAGCTATTTTTGGATGTGATTGATTTAGTACGTGCAGAGCGTGTGTGTGGAGTAGACATTTTTTGCTGTCGTCTACAAAAAGAAATTATAAAGGCCTACGGTGTCGCGGGATAGATATGTAAGTTCGTTTTATCTGTAATTTATCCTTATTGCTCGTGGTTAGCCCAGTTCGCGGTTCAATTAATATATTATTCATTTTATGTGTGATCACTGTGATTTTACGTACCGCGACCTCGTGGCCGTGTGGATATCTGAGTCGATTTCTTTATATTAGTTCTATAGTTTCGCTCGTTTCTGGTTGTTTGCATTTAGCCTGTTTAGTTGTATTTTGTTGCCTCTGAGGGTTTTCATTTGTCGATCGCTAGTTCCTTGTAACGTTTGTTTGTGCAACTGCCTTACGCTAGTCCTTCATTGTTTATTTCAGTTTACGAGATCAATTAATAAATGTGATGTGAAATTATGTCGCTTCCGTCTCTGTAAAGTTCCACTCGTTCTGGTATTTTTCTCCGGTCGCGATCTTCTCGGCAATACATTCGGCCTTGAAGTTCGCCTGCCGTTACAGTCAACTTACGGTAAACACTACAAATGGTGACACGGTACAGCTATGGGGTCTCCAGTTTCTGTTCCTGTAGCAGAAATTATGATGCAGAACATTGAGGATCGCGCCCTTTCGACTTGCCGACAAACGATACCGCATTGGCTACGCTACCTTGACAAACAGGGAGAGCGATAAAGGTGCTCCTTGTTCAGCCATCTTCTGCTACTTCAGAGAGTTTTTTAATATACTCACAGCCTCATTCAATGACCAGCAGGAGAGTGCACTGAGCAGAGAGCGACAAGCCAGACAAGCGGCCAATTTTAGACTCTGTTGAGCGAGGTACATTGCAAGATATGTCGAGGAAACAGGCCAAAGTGAAATCAGGACAGAGCGTATGAATAGTGATCTTCTGGAATGCAAGAGAGAAGCGAAGGATCTGATATCGTCTGTAGACCCTTCACGAAACGCTACCGGAGAGAAGAAGGGTTATATCGAAGTAATGGCTGCAATGAAACTACTAGATAACGAGAGCTCGTTTGGCCTGCTCAACCTATCACCAGACGTCCTACGAGGGCTACGTAACAAGCACCCAGAGGCGGCCAATATTGCAGAGGAGAGTTTGCTGCACGATCCAGTTGATTATTTTCCACCAAACTTCTATGATCTCCTGATAAAGAAATGATTTACAACTCAGCAAGCAGAACCAAGGGCTCAGCGGGGCCATCGGGAATGGACTCGAACCTTTATAGGAGAATCCTGTGCTCTAAGAACTTTAAGACTGAAGAGAAGAGATAGCTAGGTTCACGAGAAATCTGCTTAAGAACTCTTACCATCCGTCTTTACTCGAAGCCTTTACATCTTGCGGGCTCATCCCGCTCGACAAGAACCCTCGAATCAGACCAATCGGTGTTGGAGAGGTCCTGAGACCAATAGTGGGAAAAACAGTCAGCGGTTTCTTAAATTACTTGCTGATGTAAAAACTTCAAATAGGATTAGCGAATTCATTCGTAAGCTCAAGACTTTTGATTTCAGCAAATTAGGACCCAGCTGTGAGTGCAACTCCTGTTTTTAGTTATTATCGTCTATATGTACATGTATTTCTCATATTTCTCTCCTTACCATGAGCTTTTCTTAGATTTTTACTAGACATTTTGACGCATTTTTTTTTATTTTTAAGCATTTTATCATTATTTTTGTAAATACTTTTGGTGATTATAGTGAATAAAGGGAGAGTGATGAAAGAGAGAATTAAAGAATTTTAAATAGATATACGGCTTGCTTGCACTCAGAATTAAGCATTTTCAAAACGCGCTAATGAAACAGGAAACGTTCTTGTATGGGACCAGGTTAAGTTTATTGATCACGACTCTCATTTGCACAGTTCGTCCTAATAACATCCGGTGAACAGAGATAACGGAATCGAAATTCCTGAAGCGTGGATGCCTTCTATCAAAAAGCATAACTCCCTATCCGTAATAAAGCGGACCTATGAGGGAACAACATGTAATACTCAAAATGATTATAAGGATCAAAATGCACCAATGACAGCGCACCACAACCCACCAATGACATCTAACCAAGGTGCCACGAACAGTAATAAGCAAACTTTCGACTTCGTCGCATGACGAGGACTAGCATTATAGCAGCCGAAAAGTCGCGATCGATTGATTAACCCGACTCTTACATTTTGAGACAATCAATGACGTTCTCGATATTCTTAGCCATGATGAAAAACAGCATTTTCTGTAACAATAAACAATTCAAAGGTGACTTTATAAAACGTGACTACAATACACGTTTACGACAAGGACTAATTTAAATTGCTTTTCTGAATTACAAGTATTCTACAAGTATTTCGAACTTATTAACAAAGATTTAGTAATACATAGAAAGGTAAAAACAAGCGATGTAATATCCCGACGTTTCGGCGACTTCATGACGCCATTATCAAGGGTACAAATGAAAATAAAATTAACAAGTGCGAGTTCAAGAGTTACAACTAATTTACATAGGGGAGGTAGCTACATAAATACTTTAGCACGGATGGAATCCGTTTGCACGTTCAAACTCGGTGTTAATTGTTTGATGTAAAGCATCTCGTTGACAGGACAATCGAATTTGTTCATGCAGTTCTTGAGAACTTTGAAACAGCTAAGAAGGTCCTCAGGGACAGCACCTGCGTGGTCGTTGTGGTAGTACTTGCGTACTTACGTAAATATGCGTAATAGCGTTTTCAACCTAGCACGAAGGAGTAACAAAATTAGCTTAAGAAATATCCATATGACATCAGGCCAGATCTGTAACCTGGAGCTATAGATATAGAATGTCAGACTTTATTTATTTACTTGATTTTATTAATTACTCAGATACTTTGTTTTTAGCAGACGGTACGTCCACACACTCTAATCAAAAGCAAAGGATGAAGGAAACAGTTAAGGTAAGCACTATATTCTTCAAATAAGTTGAAATTATAAATTGGCCACTGCAAATGGTTAAAAAGCTGATGTTTCGTGCGTCAGCCCTTCGTCAGAGCGAATGGAGGAATTGTGGGTTGTGTGTGCGTTTCTGTGCAGAACGTGGAGTCACGCTATTAGTGGGAACATGGTGAAGAGAAAAACAAGAATAAATTGATAAAATGAAAGCGTTCGTTGATACCTATGGGATTAAGAGTGCCGATTTGAAAGATAAACTTTTCTTCAAGAGTTTTACGGCTTTCCGCACTACCTAAATGTAAGGAAAGACCGCAGATCCCCATATGTTGCTTAGAATGATTAGATTAAAGTACCTAGCGACTGGTTTTCATGCATCCTTGTCATTCCTTTCTACGCCGCGAAGGTGTTCCGATTTGATGCGACAAAACTACCCCCACCGACGCAGCAGCCCAGTTTCTTTAGAAACTTACCTCCTTTACTATATTCTTCAGCTCCGTTCAAATGGTAATGATAGGCTCAAATTGATGGGCTCAAAGATGATAGGCTCAAAGATGATAGGCTCAAATTGATAGGCTCAAAGATGATAGGCTCAAATCGCGAAAAAAAGGAAGTTCGGTTCAGCCTGAGTCCCAAAAAAACGTTTATCACCGTCTATTGTCCATTATCATGCAGTTTGGACATGTTTAAATTCGAGATGATAGTCGACGATAGTTTTTGGCGTTTGAACCAGCGGATGATAGTGCATGATTCCGACGTTTGGAACGTTAGCACTTCAGCACAGCGAACAGAATGGGTAGGTTGCTTTTCATCATCCTTTTTTAAGGGTCTGGATGGGGTTTAGTGTTAAGTGTTATTTGGCCTTTTTTTTTTTTAATGTTTAGTGTTAAAATTTGTAAAATTTTAATGTTTAGTGTTTTAAAAAAGTTAACTGTTAAGCGTTAAAGTGGCCCTGAGACGAAAATTGACCAT